TTTTTTTAGATTTTGGATGGTCAACAGCAAGCCGCTAATGCCTCGTTTATTACAGGTTGGTCTGTTTGAAATATAGCAATTAAGAGATAACAAAAATGAGTGTCGGCAAGGCCGATACGCGCCTACCATCTCTGATTTCAGCGCGAGAAATTCACAAATGTTTTTGAGAGCAATAAGTATAAAAGCTCTTTTTATAGGTTTTGCTTGTTTCCTTCCTTTTTTCCAGTCGACAGGTGACCACTCTAAATCCCCAGTTTTGTTGAGATATTTGCTGTGAAGTGGTGCTATTGTTTCTGTGTGCTGCCAAATTATGTCTAGTTCTTTTGCGAATGAACGATCAACGAGAAAAACTTTTCGATTTATCCTCTTTGCTTACTTTGCGATTTTCCGCGTTCACATTTAGAGGCATAGGGCGTGCCGCGACATCGCCCGAGCAATCGAGCTCACAAGGGAATGCTTTTTACTCGAAGTGGCCATTTAAAACAAAATAACTAGAAATAACTTGTATAGGTACCCCAAACCTCTCTTCCATATATGCTAAACGGCCTTCTAGAAGTAGTTATGGGCACAAGTTTCCATAAGGTTACCTTCAAAATAAGAACTTGTGTATCACGTACGAGTAAAAGATGGAGCGTGTGAATTGTCTTGGTTTGCGAGTTTGTGATGCAGGATCGAAACCTGTCTTCGGCAAAATTGCTTTTTTGCAACTAACATAAGAGTATTTGCTGGAGAAAACTTTAAATACATTTAGCTCATTGAATTATTATTCATACTCTCTGTTAAAAATGGAACAATAATTAGGTTTCAAGTTTAAAATTGTTAACCGTTATCTCCACTAAAGAGTTACCACCACAGATTCTACCTGCTGAAGTACGCGCCGCAATCCAGACCATAAAGGTAGTCACGACTCCGGGACAGGACCACATTTTGGCCAACCTTTTGTGAGTTGGAGGACATCGCCTACACGAGATATGCGGCGCATCTACTTCTTTCCTTCAAAAGGAAAGGATCCCCGACCGTGGAGAACCTGCGGAAGGTCCTACTCCATAAGAAGGGCGATAGGGAGGATCTTTGGAACTACGTCCAATATGCGTGCTGAGCGTGCTTTGCAAGCTCTTCACGAAGTTTATTCTCCCTTGTATATCAACATGGATGAAGCTCAACCTGTAGAACAAGCTGGATTTGGCAAGAAACTTAGTTGCGTGAACCGCATCTAGGTGGTTTCGAGGATTATCGAAGGTTGCCGAGAATATCGCCTACTTCTCGTCTTAACTTTTGTCGACTATGAAAGCGTTTGACAGCGTCGAGACTAATGTTATAATGTCGCTTGTGCAAAGGGTGAACCCATCCTACGCGAGCATTGGCCGTCTGCTACAAGAACTGCTCTATAATGGTACAGTTTTTCCATCGCCTACTCAGCATACTAATTTCAAAGGGGAGGGGGGTCGACAAGGTGACATTGTGTCACCAAAGCTGTTTACCGCCGCCTTGCATTAATAATGAAATCACTAGATTGGAACGACAGATTTATACGAGTTGATGGAAGATTCCTGTGCGGACGGCATTGTTTGAAAGAACTAAACGAAGTAGGGAAGCGGTTAGGAATGCGGGTTAACTGGAGAGACTCAGCTCGTGAAAAACGCTTTTTGCGAGGACTAGGAAATCGAATTAGAAGGCTTTCCAAACGCGGAGACGTCTTCTTACGTATACCATACTACTATACTTGTGCGTTCGGTGCACATGGAGTGCGATCTGAAAGAAGCTAAACAGAAGCCGAAAAGCAGCTTGCGCTTTTGGACCCCCCAAAGAAAGCCATCGACTGGCTGGGGCACCCAGAACTTGGAGCCCACTTGTTCACAACCGTTCTACATGCGATCTGTTAAGGGACGTGGCCTGACACTGCGGCTACGTCGAACACTCTCCGAAAAACTCACAGAGCGCTGGAACAACGTCATAAGTACAACCGACGCATTCAACATTTCGTCGCACGTCACAGTTCACATATGAGATCAATGTCTGGTCTTCGCGATCCAGCGGAATACATCTCTGAAACAAAACATCGATGGGCTGGTCATATAATGAGAAGGACAGAAGCCAGGTGGACACTTGAAACTCTGGAATGGATTCCTAGCGGAGCGTTCTCGAGGGAAGCCACCGAGCAGATGGGCTGACGTGCTCGTTGCATGGATGGATCAATTAAAATCTCTTGGTAACGAATAATGGATCTGGACCTGGCGAACGTCGCTTCGAACCTACATCACAAATTCGCAAACCAAGACACTCCCAAGCGCCATCTGTTGCTTACGTGATACACAAGTTCCTATTATGAAGGTAACCTTATGGAAACATGGCCCATAATCTCTTCCAAAAAGCCGTTGTGCAT